GCGTGGCCTATGTCACTTTATTCCTTGTCTTTTGAATAAAGATGTTATTGTGTTTCCTCATTTGAATTTCTTTCTGTGTTTTTCCCCTCGTTATTCAGCTCGAAAACCTTGTGGACTTGGTAAATGCAGTTTTTAAAAAACAGGGTCGGAAATTCAAGAAAGACGAGTTAATTGTCGCGTATCCCATAGATTTTTACGTCAGAATTTTCAAGTTTTACGAGGAAAAAACAAGAACGTAAGTGTTTGGGATTTTATCTTGTTCAGCATTTATTACATCATTCAGAAAACCGCGAAACGGAAAATGTTGTCCATGTTGGATTAATTAATTTACATATGGTAGTCATTTTACTTCACGTAATTACATTTTGTGTTAACTGACTATGCAGCTGAAACTTGCGATAAAGATGAGCAATTCGTGAAATACAGACGGCGCGGTTTAAACCTATGAAATTGCTTGCGGATTGCTTACAAAGAGAGAAAAAAAATTTTGGGATGAAGTATGAAAGGTAGTTCATCAGTACTATGCACGGTCGTTGAATGAAGAGAGATTTGGTGATTAAGTTGTCACGAGCGAAGGACAAAGAAGAAACGTGAGCTTCCCACGAAGCTTGGAACCTCAGACCTTTTGTTTTCGCGGTCGGATGTGGTATCAACTTGATAAACTTTAATGTCACCCACCAACGAAGCTTCGTTAATAGCTTAGTGTCCATCAAATACAAATCCATCATCTTGATAGCTTACATTTCAACAAATAAGAGCTGTGTAGAGTTGTAGATTGAAAAGGTTAAATATTGCATCACGAAATATTAAAAGAGCGGTTAATTATCCCTCACCAGCCGAACTTTTCCAGCAGTTTGCAATAACTTGTAACTTGTAACGTGATGGAAGAGCGCTCAATGTTTCCTAGTAAAGTATTGAGCGAAATTTTGGAGGTGAGTTATCGCTATCTCATGACGCGAATTTACGCTCCCCACGGTGACTTCTACGTACATGGCTGAAATTCATTTGCAGCCGAAATAACGTATCGACGCCGAAATGTCAACTTTTTTTTATTTGGTCGAACGTAAGGGGAATTCGTTTTCTTGATAAGGTCTATCTTAATTCGAACTGAGTGTGACCTATCAGATTTTTGGCGTCTCAACTTGGAAATTCCTTTCGTGACCCTTTGAGGTAAGGATACATTTACATTTTCCTGATTTCTTTCATCATTTAAATTTGCATGCAGGGATCCCTTGGTTGTTGTTAATTACATCATTTGGACTGTTATCAATAACTTTATCGAAACAATGCCGCGAAAATACCGAGAGGCCCGGGACGAGTATGTGACCGCCATGTCAGGAAACAGCACCAGATACCGCTGGAAAGATTGCATTGACAGAATGCAGCCAGTATTTGGAATGCCGCTTGGCTTGCTGTTTGTGGACGTAGCATTCGATGAAAAAAGCAAGGAAACGGTAAAAAGGATAACTCAAAAAGTTAACCCCGGTATTATAGTTTTACCACAATATCCGGAAATGAGTGAAGTTAGTTGTATGCGCATGCGTGACGATAGAAATACGATGACTTCGCAATAAAATGACGTCAACAAGGAATTTAAAACTTGTAAAGAAAATGTTCCACTGAATAAGTTGCCCTCTTCCGTGTGTTTCTGATATTTATTCTATACTATTTAATACTACAGATATTATCCTAGTCTTTCTGTCATTTGTTACAATGATGTAGTTGTCATTTCTTCCAGATAACGCAAATGACCAGACTCATAAAGGATGAGTTTTTCAAGAGTGTTGATGCTCTTCCTTGGATGTCAGACGAGACGAAGGCAAAGGCGAAAGAGAAGGTTAGAAGTTATTAAAGTTGTAGGATCTAGGTCACGAATTAGTTTTAAATTGTGAAGCTCGTCATTTCCATTTCGTGTTATTCTTGCAATTTGAGTATCGAAAGTAATCCGGGGATTGCTTTAGTTTTGCTTTACTTCGCTGTGTGATTGGTTCAGGAAACCCGCGTCACTTTTTCATCCAATCAGATGCAAAGCTAAAACCGATCACGACTTGAACACCCCCATTTTCCCGCGCTTTAGGCAGTTCGGTTGTGTTAAATTTGATTGGCCGTTGTGATAACTTTGGTTTTTGTTTTTACCACACTCAATAAAAAAGCTCTCTATACATTTTCAGCCATCCCTATCGCTTCTTGGTTTTTTATTCCTCTTTTTTGTTTGTTTGTTTTTTTTTTTAACTCACTGAAGTAATATTTTTTAAGGCTTCAACCAGCAAGATGAAGATATTTTGACAGGGTTCGGAAGCATGATGTAAGGAGTGACTCAACTCAACTCAATTTTCCCAGTTAACACTCTAACAACTTTCAAGGTACTAGTCTTTCTCCTTTGCAGGCCAATGCTATTGCCGAAGACATAGGTTACCCAAGCTACATCAAAGACCCGTCAAAGCTAGCCGCTACGCTTAAAGGAGTAAGTTGTTCTTGATCAAACTGGAGTCCGAGTGATGCTTTGAATATATCTGATATTATGTTTCAGAAAAAGCTTCGACAGACTCTATTGCATATCAACAACTTTTATGTAATTTAAACAAAAGTGTAATTGAGAAAAAAGCAGTGTTTGCTCAGATGACAAAAACCTTGACACCAAGAGTGTCAACTGGCGAGACCCATTATTGACTCCGACCGCTGTACCTTTTTTTTTTACAGCTGAAGGTTGGCGATAACCTATTTGAGAACACCGTTAGTGCCATGGCGTTTGCCGCTAACCAATCATACAGTGTATTGGACAAACCTGTGGACAGAGACAAGTGAGACTACGTTACATCATAAATTAGCTAACAATGATATTCCTTGCGTAGTCATAGGGTGTGGCCAATTTAAAATGTCCTCTGACGTCATCGCTGCATAGTCAAATAAAAACGCTAGAATAACTGAGACCACCTACCGGAAATACGTATATTGAACGAGTTTATGGTTAGTTGTAAGTGGAATTACAACAGAACCTTCATCCAGAAGGGACACTCGCAGGAGTAGAAAAAAGTGTTCCAGAAATAGTGCTGTCCTACTCACTCATTGGAGGTAACAGATACAAAAGTTATACAGTGTAACCTCCATTCGAGGGACATTTTCGGTACTAAAAAAAAAATCTTCCAAGACGGAGGAGGCGTCTCAAAAGATAAATTCCCTATTAGTATTTGGGCCTTAAACGGTTTTGTCTTCCTTTGATTCCCGGCAGGTGGTTCCTAGGCCCCTCGCAAGTAAATGGTTACTATTCACCAAGACAAAACCGCATTGGTAAGCCTCACTGCAAAAAAGCATGATCAACAAATAGGCAAATAAATAGGGATGTTACGCAAAAGCCTTTTTTACCCGGTTGGACGAACTTCGGTTGTTACCTCTGCAAAACACATGCAGTTTTATTACAAACTGAATGAGCACTAAAAGTTTGTGACATAAAAAAAATACCGAAGCATGATGAAGATATTTTTAGGCTGTATCTGTACGCTGTAAGCATATAATGATATTATTTGATTTTGTTCTTTGATGTTCCAGTGTTCCTGGCGGCCATTTTACAACCCCCTTTTTACAATCCGGATTACCCAAAGTAAGTACAATAATAACGACAAACAAACCAAAAAGAACCTCTTAACCTTCTTGAAGAATCGATTCTGACCAAATACAACTGACCTCGATCTTTACCTAAGTCTTTACTTAAGTAATTAGTCAATCATCAATTAAATCTTTATTATCTCGAATTGCTTTGGCTTTGTTTTACTTCGCTCTGTGATTGGTCCAGAAAAAGTGCCACTCTCTCAACCAATCAGATGCAAAGCCAAAACCAGTCGCCCCTTGGTCACTCGCTTTTTCCCGCGCTTTACGCGGTTTACTCCTTTTTTACTATACCTTCTCATTGGCTCGTTATGA